GGCCCAATTATAATCTAGATGACTGGACTTTTCAACAGCTTAAATGATGGCTTGGTTGGAATTCGAATTCCCATATGAAATTCTTACTAGAAAAGGTATAAATAAAAATATTAATTTTATATTTTTTTTATTTAAATATGTTAATTTTATTAATTTTATAAATTAAAAATTGATCTTTTTTAATAAAAAATATTGAAAGTTAACGTCTTTAAATAAAAAAATTAATTTAATATTTTTATTTAAAAATTTATAAAGTTGATATTTTTTCAAAATATATATATAAAGTTGATATTGTTATTTATACTTTTTTAAAAGTGATTATGCCACATCTTTTTTCTTTTGTCCTTATATGCCACAATTAAACGCTTAGATAGTTAGATGGGTAGATGTAATACTTCTACCATGAATTAAGTATATACATTTAATTTGAAACAGTGAATGAAATTTAAGGGCTGTTACTAACGTTGTTGTTTTTGAATTTTAATTTTGATTTTTTTATCAAAAAAATTTTTTTATTTTTAATTTAAAATAATTAAAATCCAATTTTAAAAATTAAAATTAACAACTTGTGAAATACTTGCAAAATTTCAAAACTTAAAATCAAAATTAGTTTTTTTTTAATTTATTAGTAAATTTTTAAAAAAAATTTTGATGTTTCTAAAATTTTGACAACTACTAAAATTAAAAACCAAAAATAATAAAACCCTAAATAAATAATAATGATCATTAATCCTAGTATATTATATGTATAGTAGGGTAGAATAGGCTTCCACTGCCCCAACATCAAGAAATACTGCCGAGGACGGCTACTTGTGCCCACCATACCACTAATACCATAAATTGTGTACATTGATCACCAATTGGAAACCCATTTTTCTATTCTCACAGTAGAATGTACTGTATAATTGAAGGTTGAAAAGTATTGATTGTAGTGTCTGACTTCTTGTTTAAAATAAGGGAATAAAAGTGTATTTTGTTTGGACTTTTTTTATTAAAAAAAATTGGAATTTAGGAGAGTTGAGCCACTTTTGCTAAGAAATATATATGGTGGAGTATAATG